AATTGATCTTAACATAAGTTTTTTGCTGTATACTCAAAAAATGAGACTTACGTAAATTTTTTTTTATTTATATTTTATTACACTTCTAAAACAACTGTTATACTCTTTAAACAGTTTATTGTAAAATTAACTATATGGGAACATTTTTTACAAGATATTCATTATGATGGAAGTCACACACAATTTTGAATACAACAAGTCATTAAAAACTTGTTGTTCGTATTAATTTGTTTAATTCCTTCAGTTTTATTTCATTAAATAGTTCAAAAGGTACATCAAGTCCCACGCAATCAAACTATCATGTACTTAAGCCAAAAGAGTTTAAAATAAAATAATTTTTTATAATAGCTGATGCCTAGTATGTATTACAACAAATATTGTCTCCGTATTTTGTGTAATAATATTTTTTTCGTGAGTTTCCTTGATAAGTATAATTTTTCAAAACTTAGAAACATAAGGCACAAATAAATTTTAATCTCATCTCATGGGAAATTCATATTCTAAGGCTATCATTTTTATTTTGATAACTTACATACACAAAAATGTGTTGAATGCACTGAAGGAGAAAGTATCTTAGAATCAAGGAAATTAAACTAAGGACTAGCAAAGTACCTTATATTTGATTTTAAAAAATTAATTAGTAACGCCTTAATTAATGCCATGTATTATATTTTGAAACGAGCCTAGCTGAATAAAAAAATCATTTTTATTAGTTGATAAACATTTAAATCCTCATTTAACAATTAACATGATGTTCAGATGTAGCATAAATAAAATAAATTAAATTTTCTATTAGGAAAGATGCTATTAGTTGTTAATAACAAATTTACATTTACATATTTAAGAGTTTCAAAAAAGGTAAAAAACATAACCCTACTATATTTAATAAAAATTTAATATAAATACAACCTAAAATGTATACTAATTACGCTTTTGACAAATTTTTGACAAATTTGCATTTAATTTTCCTTAAGTTTGAATAAAAACTTATTTTTTATTTGATAAGTTACTACATCTTACCTTTTAGTTAAAAATTGCTTTTATTTAAAATTACATTATGCATTACTATTCCTTATGATCAACTAAAAATAAAATAAAATTTTACTGAAAATAAATCTTTTTTCTTAACTGCAGTTGAACGGCATCACAACCCAGGGCGAGAACATTGCAGACAACGGTGGCATTAAAGAAGCTTATCTGGCCTACAACGAGTGGGTGCGACGCAACGGTCCCGAGAAGCAACTTCCGGGCCTTAAATATAATGGCCAACAGATGTTCTGGTTGAGCGCGGCCAACACCTGGTGCAGCAAGTACCGACCCGAGACGCTTAAGCTGCGCATCACCACTGGAGTGCACAGTCCCGGCGAGTTCCGAGTCCTCGGACCCATGTCCAACATGCCCGAGTTTGCCAAGGATTTTAACTGTCCACTCAGCACGAAAATGAATCCCAAGGACAAGTGTGCTGTGTGGTAGAACTTGCACTGATGTTTGTGGGTATGTGTGGGTGTCTGTCGTTGAGTGCTAACTGTCGATTAAATTTCGAAAAGTGATACTTGTTCGCGTGGTTGATCGAGTTAAGTTGTCAATTGTATTTTAGTTATTTTACGCGAGGGATCATGTCTGGACAATGTCAATGGTGTGTGCTTGCGTATTGGTCTCTCTCATTTTTTCTTATTTTTTTTTTTTTCCATTTTGGCATGATTGATTTCATTTTATTTTAATTATTGATCAAGAGTTTTTGTTGATAAGAGGATGTGCCAAAAACTCGGGGAAATACTTAATCGTAACTTATCGAGTAATATATCTGAAATATATATGTATAAACTGAGTCAGGATATTTTACTAACATTAACTATCTCTAAGACAAAATTATGTTAGTATTTTTTTTCCTTTTTTTCAAGATTTTGTGAGTCTTATTTTAGTGAGTTGTATTGATATGTGTATGTGTGTGTTGTTTCGGGCAATAATAGTTCTAACGTAGTAAAACTAGTAAGTTAGTAGAGTTGTTTTAAAGTAGTTCGTGTGTGTGTGTGTATGTGATGCTGTGAAAAGAATGCCACATTATGACAAACATTTTTTAATTATTCGACATATTTTAATTTTTAAAAATTCTCTCATTTCAGAAATAAATTTTTTAACCAATAACTGATTATTAAATAAGCTAATATGCCATAAAAAATAGTCAAAAGAGATGTGACAATTAGATATTTTGACTTTTATTAACAAAATCATTTCTCGAATATTGACACATAATAAATAAGGTAATTTTGATGAGGTAGATAGATTTCCAGTGGTCATTTGAAATATCAACAATTAAGGGCCAAACCAGGCTTATCACGCCTATGAGAAAAATTTACAGGATAAAAAATATATAATGATGATAATAAAATTCATTACAGTCAATACAAATACACGATTAGTGAGAAAAAGAAAAATAAAATCGGTGAAAAGGATATTTTAAATGTGAAATGCGAAATAAAAAATAAAAAATAGAAATTATTATATTGGCTGTATAAAAGTGTAAACAAAACCTACGATGTATTAAATGAGGTAAATAAAAAGTATAATTGTTTGTATGAATGTTTATTTTGATCTTGAGGTACGGTATGAAATGTATAAAATCAACTTCTAATACTATTATATTATCATAACGCAAAAGCGAGGAAAACTATAAGTGCAAAAATAATCTCTTTTACAGTACACAATGTATCTTGAAAAGGCATTTTAAATGTTCATAACTAGTTCGTGAAAAGCAAGAATTTATCTTGCTCATTTTTACAAGTAACTATAAAATATTTACACAAATATATACATTATCTGTTAATCATACTTCGGTCATGACAATTTTTGTAATAAATTTATTGCCTCACTAAAATTGTCATTATCGTGTTTAAGCACGCGATACAAATCTCAATTGCTACCGTAAGATATACTGTATGTATTGGAAATAAACGTGCGATTGCATTTGCATCTAATAAAACAAAATTATGAGTATTTATAGGTAATCATAAGATACATGCATATAAACACAAATCCTTTCATATCATCGATATAAATGTAATACGAAATTATGAAATTATTGTTGTCATCTTCGAGACGTATTGTTTAAATATTATGCCATGCAATTTATTACTTTAAAAAACTTTGAAAATGAATTTTTTTTAACTATATGATTTTTTATGCCTCAAAAGCATAATTTTTGTTCCTTTGCGTTGACATTTATAATTTTTTAGTGAGATGCAAACTGATGTATACTAAAATAGTAAATAAACAAATAATAATTAGTGATTGCATGATGGTCTTAAGTTACTTATGCTCTATGTTTCAGTTTTACGTATTACATAATTATATAGTGTTTGTGATTGTTTCATAAATAAAAACCATGCCTTACAATTACAACACAGTTTTGTCGTGGAGACATATACATATACATTTGTTAATAAACTGCGTAAAAACTGTATACTACATCTAATGATAAAATATCAGTAAGATGTCGATAGCACTGTCATTTAAAAATTTTTTTCTATTCATGGACGATATCTCAAAAATCAAGGCTCTTGTGGATATTTATTTTAACCATGTATTTGTCAAACGCAAAACTTTAATATTAAATACACAGTTAAAAAAAAATAAAAAAAACATAACAAATTTTTTACCAAGCCAAAACTTCTCCATCCCACAGTTGTTTCTATTTTGCATGCTTTGCTCTACATTAACATAAGTTTTTTGATGTATACTCAAAAAATGAGACTTACGTAAATTTTTTTTTATTTATATTTTATTACACTTCTAAAACAACTGTTATACTCTTTAAACAGTTTATTGTAAAATTAACTATATGGGAACATTTTTTACAAGATATTCATTATGATGGAAGTCACACACAATTTTGAATACAACAAGTCATTAAAAACTTGTTGTTCGTATTAATTTGTTTAATTCCTTCAGTTTTATTTCATTAAATAGTTCAAAAGGTACATCAAGTCCCACGCAATCAAACTATCATGTACTTAAGCCAAAAGAGTTTAAAATAAAATAATTTTTTATAATAGCTGATGCCTAGTATGTATTACAACAAATATTGTCTCCGTATTTTGTGTAATAATATTTTTTTCGTGAGTTTCCTTGATAAGTATAATTTTTCAAAACTTAGAAACATAAGGCACAAATAAATTTTAATCTCATCTCATGGGAAATTCATATTCTAAGGCTATCATTTTTATTTTGATAACTTACATACACAAAAATGTGTTGAATGCACTGAAGGAGAAAGTATCTTAGAATCAAGGAAATTAAACTAAGGACTAGCAAAGTACCTTATATTTGATTTTAAAAAATTAATTAGTAACGCCTTAATTAATGCCATGTATTATATTTTGAAACGAGCCTAGCTGAATAAAAAAATCATTTTTATTAGTTGATAAACATTTAAATCCTCATTTAACAATTAACATGATGTTCAGATGTAGCATAAATAAAATAAATTAAATTTTCTATTAGGAAAGATGCTATTAGTTGTTAATAACAAATTTACATTTACAAATAAACAAAATTTAGTTTGCTATAGTATGTGTTAAGTAAGAGCCATTAAAGTATATTTTTGACCTAAATCAATACTTTGGATAAAACCCATCCAAAGAATGTGATCATGAGAGGGAGAAGCTATTTAAATGCGAGGAGTACAACAGCGATCCTCCAGTCCAGCAACAACCAACCTGTGGACTCGACCAATTCGGGTGCCGGACTTGATTCATTTATACATTTATACCCTTACCGATTTTTGATACCACCGTCTGTGAGTTAGATATTTAAAAAGAGGATGGTAAAAAAGCCAACAGTCCCTTTTTTACTTGGGTATTTTTCTTCCTTCTCTTTCATCGATTTTCAAAAGCTTACCACGAGTTTGACTAGCATAGCGCGAAGTACACGTGAGGTTGATATGACAGCTGCAGCGATTATAAAAAATACTGAAAAAAGAGGGAAGGAAACGGTCATCAAGTAAGTAGTATGATAATAATATTATTATGGTCTACCAGATACCAATTTCTTTTTTTTTATTTATCTGGAAACCAAATTTTTGTTTGTTTGGAGTCTAATAGTCTAGACAGTTTTGGACTAGTTTCGATTCACAGAAAAATCTTCCAAATCACCAATAACGATTTCCTCATATATATAGTTTATGTGTGTTGATTAAAAACAGACAGTTTCATTTTAGTTTAATCCCATGGAAAAATTTAATTGTTTAAAAAAACGTTGATTAACATACATTTTTTTTTCTAATTTGGTACCAAATGCATAGCATATTCCTTAGATTTACTAATTCTTTTACATTGTTCAAGAGTCCAAACGTATTTAACTGATTGTTAATCGAATATCGCGTTCTTCCAAAATAACACTGCTTTGACATTGCTTTGACTTAGAAGTTCAGTGACATCGTGGACAAAGTTTTAAAAACTCTACATAGTATACTCAAAGTAAAGAAAAATTTCTTCTATCTGTTCTTTTTTTTTAATAACTATAGTAGAAGAATAAAGTGCTTCATTACTTATTTTGCGTAAAATAATTAAGGTACTACACGTGTGATATGATGATTCAAAAATTGAATTTATAGCTCATCTATCATAACTGAAAAAAAAAAAAAAAAAAAAAAAAGAATGAAACGTAAAATCTTCCACTTACTATGTGCAGATAAGAGACTTTTTCTTATGTACTTCTATTGTATTCTTATTTGCATGTATATTTTTATTCATGCAATTACTTTATCAATTTAAAAAATTACGGCTGTATAAACGAGTTGATCACAGAAAATATCTAACGTTAGTATAGCGCACCGAATCATTTCATTAACATTTACAGCACCTATCCAGCATCATAATTTATCCTCGACCGTCGGTCTTATCTAATGATATATTCCGATGTACCTTCACATTTACTTTCATTAACTAGTATTTTTACAGTTATTTTTCTTTTTCATGTCGAATGGATACGAACAAAATTAAAAATCATCCTCCTTGCTAAATTATTCATGATCATCGTAAAAATACACATTCAATGAAGCTTATTTGATTAATTTACTCAAAAACGAACCCAACATACATTTGACATTCCAACGTACAGTTATAACGACACACTTCCGAAGTAAATACCTAATAAATCTGTGTATAATTATGTATTTCCTTTGTTTAAAGTGTGCCTGTTAAACGTTTTCAAAATTTAAAATTTTCATGACATCCTACCGGCTGGCAAAGAACGTATTTATTACCCAAACATACCTAATGTTGGAATAAATATTTTAACAAATTTATAACTTGCATCTCTTTTTATGATTTCTTAATTTACTTTAAGATACAGTGAATTATTTAGTATGGATTAGCAACATTTGAACTTTAAAACATAAGTGTGTACATAAAAACATACCAATAATACTGTAAGCGAAATAAATATGTACAGTAAAGAATATTTTTCCGATATCAAAAGACTGACAGGGGGGCTTTACATGAAACTACTCCTCACTTTAAAAAAAATCAAACAATTGATCTTAAAAAAAAGTTTTTGTTGGAGTAAACAAAATAATAATTAAATAAATTATGATTAAAATCAAACTTTATTATTATTTCAAAAAAACGCAAAATGAATTTTATTTGTAATTACTAAATTTTACTATTTATTAAATTTACTTGCATCGCAAATAATTTAGATTTTGGTACCTAAAAAAATTCTGATAAATTTCTATCTTGGAGTAAAAAGTACTCATCACTGTCAAAGAGTCAGATATGCTCAAAAATCAAAGGAATTTGACTTCCAATTAATTATATATAAATGCTTGTTATAAAAGATCTCAATGCATATAATAAACTATTTAAAAAGTTAACATTGAGCCAGATATGAGCCATGATTCATCATTGCACAACTTCAAAACTATGTCACTTAAAAAAATTTTTGTTCGACAATGAAAGATCTCATAATTTCAGATAAGTTTATGACAAAATTTCTCCGTGAATAATTTTAAGTATCAGTCACTTCAAAAATTTACAAACGTTTTTCAATGTGAAAATACACGATGAAAAATATTTCACTCCATCCTTCATATTTTACAGAAATCCAAAGTGGTGGAAAAGACGCTTTGTACTACAACGTGATCTTACGTTAGCATTTGCCTTCGGTCTTTTGTACATCACCAACAATTTTAGGAACTGTGAAGCGATTCCTATTGGTAAGCACACAAAGACAAACGAAGAGAAAAAAAAAAACACACGCACACTCATACATATTGGATTTATTTACATACTACTAATATATTAGCATTAAAAGAAATGTAAAACAGTAATCGCTTCTTAGTCTTTTGTTTACATTTTAAGTAAAGAAAGTAAAAATATTAGGAATTTGTTTCTTTTAAATTCTTTTTCTCATAATGGCTTTTAGTGACGGTCATAGAAAAAACTACCATTATTTTTAGATTTTCTATGTCTTTTGATTTTTTATTAAAATAAAATTTTGAATCTGTTTTCACGTTTTCTTTCATACAACTAAAAATCTACGAAAAATTAATTACACGTCACATGTATATGCATTATATCCGAACCATGTGTGATAGTCGCACCAACTGATGCCGTAACGCTACTTCACACAACCAAATTCCTGAAAGAAACTAGTGGGCAAGAGACCCCTCAGGAAGCCCAGAAACCATTGGCGATCTGTGACTCACCAGGATGTGTACACACTGGTACGTTTCTTATGTCTACTTTTTGTTTTTCACATTTTTATCTAATTTTTATTATTATCATCAACATTATTATTTTCACTACTATACTATTATTCTTGTTGTTGTTGTTATTGTTGGTACTGTAGGTATTTATCGCTTATCTTTATTTATTTATAATAATTTATTCTTCAAAATTTATTATGAATGAATACTAGTGGAAAGAAGAATCAACAAATTACATAATGTACATGTACAGCTTCATCGATATTAAGGAACATGGATCCGACGGTCAAGCCATGCGATGATTTCTACAAATTCGCTTGTGGAGGTTTCCTTAGGGACACGATGATACCGGACGACCGATCGGAAATCGACGTTTACAGCATGATCAGCGACAAGCTTCAAAAGCAGCTCAGAGCCAGTATCGAAGAGGAGAGCAAACCTGAGGATCCAAGGCCCCTCAGGCTCCTCAAAACTTACTACCAAAACTGCATGAACAAGAGTGGGTTTTATTTCTGTTTCTCTTCTTTTTTTTTGTCAGTACATACTTTTTTCTTATTAAATATGTACGATGGAATTTAAGTGTGCATTCGACTTTATTTTATTTAAACTTTATCGTGTGACATGGTGTCCAAAATCATTGAAGTATAATTTTTAACTGAGACAAAAAAAATTACAGCCCATATTGAGGAGCAGGGACTAGATCTGCTATACCAAAATCTAAAGGAATTGGGTGGGTGGCCAGTTCTGATGAATAATTCTTGGGTCGAAGACGACTGGAGCTGGACTGAATCTGTCTATAAGTTACGCAAAATGGGCTACTCGGTTAATTATTTTATCAGCATCCGTATGGATACCGATTTGAAGAATAACACAAAACGCATCATCTACGTGAGTTGACAAATCTAAGGAGCTCGTTACACTGCTGTCACTATATTATTCATATATTAGCCTATATTATTCATCTTTTTTGTTTTTGTGTGTATTCCCTTCAAATATTTGTTTATGATTTCACTCATCTATTGATCGGACATCGATTTTATTGATAGCTTTGGGTTCAATATCACAGCTAATGACTTATGTTTCGACACTTTTCATCAGAAACAAAAAAAATTTTCAGCATTTGTGACTCGGACACTCGATCGATTAGTCGAGCTTTATCTGCAAGTCACAGTTTTTGCATAAATTTATCCACTAGTTTATATTAAAACTTACACATCACATTGATTACAGACTTAATAATGAAATCACTTTTTTTTTAATCAATAAAAAATCATCAATCAGAAATCATCATCATCGAAAAATCATTAAAAAAAATAAGTGAGAGTAATAAAAAAAATCATAATTTCAAATAGTTGGACAAAACCGCACTGGGTATTCCACGCTGGTACCTGGCACGAGGCTTAAGGAATAAAATTGTGAAATCTTACTTGGAGTACATGGTCGACATTGCCCAAATCCTCGGAGCCGATCGGGACTACGCCGCTGAACAACTCAAGGAGTCACTGAAGTTTGAAATCAAACTCGCCAACGTAAGCACAAAAACTCGGAAAAAATAAAAAATAACAAAAAAAAATTCATATTAAACACTAAAATATTTTCCCTAGATCTCACTTCCAAGTGAGACACAGCACAACGCCACGGCTCACTACAACCCAATGACCATAGCCGAGTTATCAAAAAAATTTCCGTCCATACCTTGGATGGAGTACTTCAATTACTTGCATCGCAAATAATTTAGATTTTGGTACCTAAAAAAATTCTGATAAATTTCTATCTTGGAGTAAAAAGTACTCATCACTGTCAAAGAGTCAGATATGCTCAAAAATCAAAGGAATTTGACTTCCAATTAATTATATATAAATGCTTGTTATAAAAGATCTCAATGCATATAATAAACTATTTAAAAAGTTAACATTGAGCCAGATATGAGCCATGATTCATCATTGCACAACTTCAAAACTATGTCACTTAAAAAAATTTTTGTTCGACAATGAAAGATCTCATAATTTCAGATAAGTTTATGACAAAATTTCTCCGTGAATAATTTTAAGTATCAGTCACTTCAAAAATTTACAAACGTTTTTCAATGTGAAAATACACGATGAAAAATATTTCACTCCATCCTTCATATTTTACAGAAATCCAAAGTGGTGGAAAAGACGCTTTGTACTACAACGTGATCTTACGTTAGCATTTGCCTTCGGTCTTTTGTACATCACCAACAATTTTAGGAACTGTGAAGCGATTCCTATTGGTAAGCACACAAAGACAAACGAAGAGAAAAAAAAAAACACACGCACACTCATACATATTGGATTTATTTACATACTACTAATATATTAGCATTAAAAGAAATGTAAAACAGTAATCGCTTCTTAGTCTTTTGTTTACATTTTAAGTAAAGAAAGTAAAAATATTAGGAATTTGTTTCTTTTAAATTCTTTTTCTCATAATGGCTTTTAGTGACGGTCATAGAAAAAACTACCATTATTTTTAGATTTTCTATGTCTTTTGATTTTTTATTAAAATAAAATTTTGAATCTGTTTTCACGTTTTCTTTCATACAACTAAAAATCTACGAAAAATTAATTACACGTCACATGTATATGCATTATATCCGAACCATGTGTGATAGTCGCACCAACTGATGCCGTAACGCTACTTCACACAACCAAATTCCTGAAAGAAACTAGTGGGCAAGAGACCCCTCAGGAAGCCCAGAAACCATTGGCGATCTGTGACTCACCAGGATGTGTACACACTGGTACGTTTCTTATGTCTACTTTTTGTTTTTCACATTTTTATCTAATTTTTATTATTATCATCAACATTATTATTTTCACTACTATACTATTATTCTTGTTGTTGTTGTTATTGTTGGTACTGTAGGTATTTATCGCTTATCTTTATTTATTTATAATAATTTATTCTTCAAAATTTATTATGAATGAATACTAGTGGAAAGAAGAATCAACAAATTACATAATGTACATGTACAGCTTCATCGATATTAAGGAACATGGATCCGACGGTCAAGCCATGCGATGATTTCTACAAATTCGCTTGTGGAGGTTTCCTTAGGGACACGATGATACCGGACGACCGATCGGAAATCGACGTTTACAGCATGATCAGCGACAAGCTTCAAAAGCAGCTCAGAGCCAGTATCGAAGAGGAGAGCAAACCTGAGGATCCAAGGCCCCTCAGGCTCCTCAAAACTTACTACCAAAACTGCATGAACAAGAGTGGGTTTTATTTCTGTTTCTCTTCTTTTTTTTTGTCAGTACATACTTTTTTCTTATTAAATATGTACGATGGAATTTAAGTGTGCATTCGACTTTATTTTATTTAAACTTTATCGTGTGACATGGTGTCCAAAATCATTGAAGTATAATTTTTAACTGAGACAAAAAAAATTACAGCCCATATTGAGGAGCAGGGACTAGATCTGCTATACCAAAATCTAAAGGAATTGGGTGGGTGGCCAGTTCTGATGAATAATTCTTGGGTCGAAGACGACTGGAGCTGGACTGAATCTGTCTATAAGTTACGCAAAATGGGCTACTCGGTTAATTATTTTATCAGCATCCGTATGGATACCGATTTGAAGAATAACACAAAACGCATCATCTACGTGAGTTGACAAATCTAAGGAGCTCGTTACACTGCTGTCACTATATTATTCATATATTAGCCTATATTATTCATCTTTTTTGTTTTTGTGTGTATTCCCTTCAAATATTTGTTTATGATTTCACTCATCTATTGATCGGACATCGATTTTATTGATAGCTTTGGGTTCAATATCACAGCTAATGACTTATGTTTCGACACTTTTCATCAGAAACAAAAAAAATTTTCAGCATTTGTGACTCGGACACTCGATCGATTAGTCGAGCTTTATCTGCAAGTCACAGTTTTTGCATAAATTTATCCACTAGTTTATATTAAAACTTACACATCACATTGATTACAGACTTAATAATGAAATCACTTTTTTTTTAATCAATAAAAAATCATCAATCAGAAATCATCATCATCGAAAAATCATTAAAAAAAATAAGTGAGAGTAATAAAAAAAATCATAATTTCAAATAGTTGGACAAAACCGCACTGGGTATTCCACGCTGGTACCTGGCACGAGGCTTAAGGAATAAAATTGTGAAATCTTACTTGGAGTACATGGTCGACATTGCCCAAATCCTCGGAGCCGATCGGGACTACGCCGCTGAACAACTCAAGGAGTCACTGAAGTTTGAAATCAAACTCGCCAACGTAAGCACAAAAACTCGGAAAAAATAAAAAATAACAAAAAAAAATTCATATTAAACACTAAAATATTTTCCCTAGATCTCACTTCCAAGTGAGACACAGCACAACGCCACGGCTCACTACAACCCAATGACCATAGCCGAGTTATCAAAAAAATTTCCGTCCATACCTTGGATGGAGTACTTCAACACCATATTGGCACCAATAACTAGCGTCACAGAAGATGAGGTTGTCGTCGTAAAAGCACCTAGTTTTATTACAGAACTTGAGAAGTTACTTGTACAGACGCCCAAGCAAGTACTGGCAAACTACTTAATGTGGCGCGTTGCTGGAAGTTCTGTAAGATACCTGAACGATGAGATCAGGGAGCCACTACTTACCTTTTCTACTACAATCAGTGGTAAGATTTTTTATTTTTTGATGGGATGGTTTGTATAATATTTTTATTTTTCTTATTTTCAACGTAGTTTTTCAAAGTAGTTTTTCTATTCACAAGTAGTACTGATTGATCAATTATTTAAGTTTTACATGCTTTTTGTCTAAATCAAGAATAAATTAATAAAATTGAAATTTTAATTGCATTTTATAAAAATAAATGGTTGCCGTAGTTATTAATTATGAACCATTTATTATTACAACCTGCGAATGCCATGTGAATCACAAAGACGTGATCTCAGCTTGAACCAATCGTATCACGAATAAAACACTTCATTTTTAATTATTTTTCTTTTTAGGTAACAAAAGATCCACCTTAACTATATAACATCGATTTCTATTTGTCAAGTTACAAATTCGAATGTAGATAAATGTAAAAATTAGTAATAAATAACTTGAATTTTAATAATTATTCCATAATAATTTCTCTACGCATGTATTACTTGAAATGTTATTTCGATGTTACTATATTATTAACAAAAAAGGGGCTAAAGTAAATATCTTTAGAGAAAAAATTCAAATAATATTGTCAATAGTTATAAAACTAATTCATTAATCAAATGAAGTTAAAAAAATTTTGTTTTTAACCACAAAAGGTAAAACCGAGCGCGAGCCACGTTGGAAGGAGTGCGTCAATTTAGCCAGCATTTATTTTCCCGTGGGTATGGACGCGCTCTACGTGAGGAAGTACTTTAACGAAGACACGAAAAAGTTAGCCATTGAGATATTCTCGGACATTAGGACACAGTTCATAAAAATCCTGCATACAGTCAGTACAAAAATCTATTTTAAGTTGTCAAAATTTTATTGAGAATAGAAAATAAAATATGTTTTGCAACTGATGGATTTGAAGATCGACTGGATGGACAACAAAACGAGAGAGGCTGCCCTGGAAAAAGCCCAATCCATGACCACTTATATAGCGTATCCGGACGAGCTGCTGGACGATAAAAAGCTTGAGAAAATCTACGAAAAACTGGAGATCTCATCGGGAAGTTACTTTGGAAGTACTCTTAACCTGACGCTGTTTGGAACTGAGTCCATCTTCGAGATGTTAAGAAATCCAGTCAACAAAAGCGAGTGGTTCAGCCAAAATAATATTGCCGTCGTCAACGCGTTCTACTCGTATAACGAAAACAGCATACGTGAGTTCATCTGGTATTTTTATTCCTTGGTGTGTACATCCCGCATTGGAATCATTCCTCTTTTGGGACTATTGTTTTTTAACATGTGTCTTTTTTCGTGTCTCCATTTTCTTAAATTTTTCTCTGGGTCTGTGTTGATAATTTTTTTAAGGAAGTTGCTTGCTTTTATATCTCTGTTTGTTTGTATCTTTATTTAGAAGCTTTAAAACTTTGTCTGCTTTGACATAATTTTTACAGTTTTTCAATTTATGATATTACCACGTATAAGTTGTTTCTGAATGTGTAACAAAATCTCATTTTTACGATTAATAAGTTAATACTCTTTGTTTAAAATGATTTTATAGCTTCTTTATTTAATAATTGATCTGTTAGTCTTCGTGACTACATCCTCTATGACTATGTATCCAATACCAAAGATTTTTTGTCTTCTAAATCTTTATTATTAAACCCCTTGACAGTTTTCTCTTTGTATTTCTGTCTTTGTAACAGTAACTATTTATTTTATGTATATCCAATATATCATGGTACTATCAAAAATTTACGTTTATGTGAATAACTTTTACTGAATGTTTCCAGTATGTTCTGCTAACTTGGCTTTCACTCTTTGCCCTTTATTTTAGAGTAATAATCTCCATGCTAAGTTTTCCTACTTTTTCCTGTATATCGTAAATAAATTTCGTATTTGTCTTTAAACAATGTCTTCTAATGCTGTACTAAGTTTAATTACGATACTGATTTTTTTCCGACATAAATTAATATTTATTTCAACTTTCAATCAGTTTGATTGAATTATATACCTTGACTTAGTACTGGAATACTCGGAGTAGAAGGAGACATCAGATAACGAATCAATTTTTCCAATAACGCAGGGAAAAGCTTGTTTCACTGAAAAAAGCTGTAGAGAGGGAGCCTTACTACCTAAAACTTTCTATATTATTCAAAATTTCTGACAAGCTCTTCCTAATAAGCAAGAAATGTACATTCAGTATTTTTTTCAAATTTTTTTAGCAACTTTTCATCATGGCTTGAATATCTCAGTAAACGTATTTCAGAATCGTTCAGTGCTATTTGAAAAATCCTTTTATATTGAAAAAAATATCTGACAGCTATTTACTCGGTGAGAAATTTGTTAACAAAACCTTTTTACCCTATTGATTAATAGAACTACCAGCTGGCATCCTTCAGGGGGCATTTTTCAATGACGACCGGCCTAAGTACATGAACTACGGTGCCATCGGTTTTGTGATAGGCCACGAAATCACCCACGGTTACAGCGGTCTGGGCAAACAATTCGATAAAAATGGTAACCTGGTCGATTGGTGGGAGGAGGAAACCGAAAAGAAATTCCTTCAAAAAGCTAAGTGTATCGTGCATCAGTACGGCAATTACACGTCCAAGGAAGGTCATCTTAAAGTAAGTTACTCTGGTTAAAAAAATTTTTTTAAATCAACTTTCACCTTAATAAATAATTGTGCAATTATTTGCCGTAAAAAAAAAATTCTTATTTTTATAACAATGTCAAGTATTCTTGATGTAAGTATTTATTAGTGTAAATAAATAGGCGCCGTCCTCGCTAGTCTTTAGAAAATATGTGTGTAGATGAATCATTTTTTCATTAAATATCTTTCACTTAATTAATCACAGAAAATTACGTATAAACCCTTTGATAATGATAATAATTATAATAAAAAAGATAACCATAACGTGTGGCAAATGTATTTTGTTAAAACTGAATTTTTTTCTAATTGAAATAAAATTATTATTTAATTTTTGCACTTCTTCTAATTATAAAATCAAATTCTATCATTAATAATATGTATTATCAAACAAATTAGCAGTTTGTATGACTATAAGAAATTAAATTGAATTAAAAATTTTTTAAAATTTTGCTCTCAATTAAATGTGAGTTAAATTTTTTTGAAACTTCAATTAGAAATTTAGTTTTTTTTTTACTTATTACTTAATACTTTAACTACTAATTAATTACTAAGCGAAATAAAAGTTACATTCTGAATGATCATTTTTTGCCTAATAAATCAAATAATTTTGATAATTTTTTGGAAATTAAACGTCTACATTCATTTTTCTACCACTGATTTAACTTGTGACATTTTTCTTTGGAACCACAGATAAACGGCGTAATAACCCAACGCGAAAACATCGCGGACAACGGAGGCATCAAATTGGCCTATCTGGCCTACAACGAATGGGTGAGACGAAATGGTCCCGAAGCTCATCTTCCGGGTCTTAATTACACTGGCCGACAGATGTTCTGGTTGAGCACGGCCAACACTTGGTGCAGCAAGTACCGACCCGAGGCGCTCAAACTACGTATCACCCACGGACAGCATAGTCCTGCCGAATTTCGGGTCCTCGGACCTATGTCCAACATGCCCGAGTTTTCCAAGGATTTTAACTGTCCGCTGGGCACAAAAATGAATCCCAAGGATAAGTGCGCTGTGTGGTAACTGGTATGCATGGGTGTCTGTTCGTGGGTGCTATACCCGTCGATTAGAGACTTTAGAATGATAACTGTTTGTATGATTGATCGACTTAAGTTGTATATTTTTTTAAGCGACAGATATTATCACGTTGATGGTGACTGCCTTGGGGATGGTCTAACCAAATTGTTGTTTTTATAAATGTCTAAGATTTTTGTAAACGTATGAAAAATAGCAAAACTGGAATTGCCTTGTCATACTCGTATTTGTTTATTTATTTATGTATTCATGCTTACATGACAGTCTTGTTAAATATAGAATAAGATATATGGGATAAAATAAAGGTTGTTGGAGTGAAAAAAATCATAGCAACAATATAAGTGTAACCAAATCAGTAAGATTAAAAATTAAAAATACAGACAATTAATAGAGATAGTGAAAATAAATGTTTTGTAAATCAGTACTACAATAATTCTTTAATTTTACAAAATAACATTTTTCGTTAAATTACTCTTGGTTTGGACAACAAGTAAAATTTATATAACGATAACAACGCTATGATGTTTAGATTCAGTCCACTAAACAGTATTTCCTTAACAAGATAAAAAGAGACTTACTACGAAGTGGAGAAAATTTTACTGTCAGTCAATAATTTATGTGAGATAAGAAACTGCTTATCGAAGCATGTAATATTAGAAATTCATTTTAATGGGTGTACAAAGCGGACTTACACAAAGTCTAGCTTTTACTGCGAAAAACTAAATGTCTTTAAGTATATTTTTCCAAAAAATGTTATTTATGTTTTTTAAAATACTGGCAAGTTGAACAAAAAAGGGTCCTTGAAAATGAAAAAATTTTTCATTAGCGAATATGATTTTTATCATTAACTAATGAACTCAATGTGAAATTTTTGAAATGATATGTACAGAAAATAAATGACGTGTATCTGTTTTCTAATTTCTCGGAGTTTTTAATTTTCGTAAATTAGAAACTTATGAAATCGTACTTGGAACTCGTTATTGTTCAGTGATTAAAAGAATTCGTAAGAATTGTAAACTGTTGTGAATTATGATAAATTTATACTTTCACCTTATAAAATCATAGGTATTATTGCATTTTTTTAAAGTTACGTACGATTTCATATGTACCAAAGGTCCACAAGTAAATTGATGATTGTGTTTTGTATTTTTTGTGCGCAACACTTGAATTAACTTGTTGAAATAGTATTACAGTGTTACAATTTACTTAAAGTGCCATTGTTGAAACAAATTAAAAAGTTGGAATATCTATATTCGAACTATTTTCTAGTTACTCGGACAGTTTCAAAAAGAAAATATTTCTTACAAATTTTTCAAAAAATATTCCTAACAAAAGTTACACGTTTTTTAAATGCGTCAGTTACGCATTTTTTACAAGTTTTGATTTTTCATAACTTTAAATGTAAGTAATTTTTTTTGAAATTACAAAGTCAAGGCTTCTTATTGAATTGAATTGTCTATTACTTTTATCACAATCATTAAAATTACAACTGGATGTTTAGTAAGGAAAGTTTTAAAGAATAAGTATGTTTTTAAAATTTTTAAGGAAAACCAAGTATGTGAGAAGTATAAACTGATTGTGAAAAATGTAAAATGCTCGATTTCGGGATTTAAAAAATTTATAACTTTTATAGCTGCACAAGCCAAATTATTAGAAAAAATAGTCCCTACCAAAATTTTCAAATTATCACATTTGCTTAAACAATTGCGGTCCATAAAAAATTGAACAAATCTGAGGCAATTTTAACCAGCCAATTCGGGTTCTACATAAAAAAAATGCACAAGAAAAACCTTGGTTTATGCGGTAAACTCTCGTTGTTGGCGCTATCATACGTAGCTCTTATAGACTAGAGTGCCTTTGCCTATAAATATGTCAGCGTGCTTCTGTCGTCATCACTTACTGTGGACTCATCGACCAGCGAACAAGCATCCTCACAGTGAGAAATGAGTTTAATTTTGACACTATTATCATTTGATTCTAAATATTAAAGTAGTATATTATTTATTTCCACTGTTTAGTTTGTTGTATTTTTGAGTCAATGACAATAAGTTTTGTTAACATTACTGTTAGAACTGTTTCAACTTATTGTCTTGAAAGAGGTTTGAGAATATGACTAGCAGCGTGGAGCAGATAGTCAAGTAAGTACTTGTAATACTAGTAGTTATAGAATTTTGTACTTTCTTTTCTTTGTTTGGCAAATTACATATTTTTTACAATTGTAATGGTTAAAACAACAAGGGTTCGATTTGCTGTATTTTTAAAAATTTTTAACGTGCCAGTAATGAGATCGATTCATGTACTTCGATCAGATAGAAAAATCGATTTGTACAAAACGATAATAAATTATCTTCTCTGCAAAAATATTCACCTTGTTAAAAAATTTTTCAATTTTTTCCCCGTATTTTACAGAAACCTTAAGTGGTGGAAGAGGCGCTCGGTAGTGGAACGTGGCCTTACGTTAACGTTTACCATAGGTTTCATGTTAGTCGTCAATAATGTTGAGAATTGTGAGGCTCTTCACATCGGTAAGCAATTATTTTTCGTCTTCACGTTTTATTTTTTAAATAAATAAAATAACTATTTTTTCATTTTTTCTTTCGTCAAAAAAAAAATTATGTAAAAAACCAATGAAAAAATTAATTACATGTCATCTATATGAAATCTAATTACTCATATAAATAAAATAAATCTTTGTGTGCGTGGATCCATCGAATTGTCATAAAATTATCATTGGCTAATTTACTGTCCAAAAAAGTCAAATTAGCTGACGAGGAAACGCTACCTCACACAACCGCAATCCTGAAGGAAACTACTAGAAAAAAGATGTCGCATGTACACCATAAAAGGCCTTGGAAAAAACCAGAGATTTGCTACTCACCTGAATGTGTGCACACAGGTACGTTTTTTCTAGGTATATTTTATTTATTTTATTTACGATTGTTTACTTCAACTAAAAGAATAAATTTATTGTATTCATTTAATTATATCTATTCTAGTTCAACAATTATTTTTCTTATAAATTTNTATAATTATAAAATTATCTTAATACCTAATAACCTTATTATTGTCAAATTCAGTAATACTTAAGGAGGTTTTGGCAAAAAATAAAAAATCTTAAATAACGCTGAAAAAAAAAAACGTTCTTTTTAAGAACATACACGCGTATGAAATTTTTCAAAATTTTTTCCTAACGTATTTTTGAGAAAAAAAATCCTTTCATTCAAAAACTTAACATGAACTCTTATGATGGTTTTTTTTAGGGAATTTCATGATCATCTTGATTTTCTTTAATAAAACAACACAAAACACCGATTTTTAAAAAAATGCTGTTTTTTCAAATCAATAAAAAAATGTAAATAAAAAAAGAACAAGTTGGTGAAGCTTAAAAATTTTTTTCAGCATTCATAAGAAAGTTGCAACAACAAAATAAACCTTGATAAATTAAAATTAACACATACACAGCGACCAACATTTTTGATAGAGCAGTCTACTGTGACTCTAAAATTCAAAAAATATTTATAACATGATATTTCTTGATACATGCTTGGTATATTACAAAGCGTTCTCTGAACAGAACAAAATTAATTTATCACTTGACTTATGTATACAGCTTCATCAGTATTGAAGAACATGGATCCAACGATTCATCCGTGCGACGATTTTTACAAATTCGCTTGTGGAGGTTTTCTCAAGAACACAATGATACCGGACGACAAAACAGAGGTTCATTTTGCTAGCATTATTATCGACAAGCTACAACAACAGCTCAGAGCCAGTGTCGAGGAGGAGAGCAAACCTGACGACCCAAGGCCATTCAAACTCCTCAAGACTTACTACCAAAACTGCATGAACAAGAGTGAGTCTAATCTCTTCCTCTCTCTCGCTTTTTTTTTTTTTTTTTTTTTTTTTTGTTTCTAAACCACTATGAAATAGCAAGAAATAAAAAAAAAAACATAGTAGGATTTAAGTCTAAATTAGTTTATACTACATCGCATGACATGGTATTCAATGGTGTTGAAGTGGAATCGTTAATGTAGACAAAAAAAATTACAGCCCATATCGAAGAAGAAGGTATGGATCCATTGCACCGAAATCTGAAGGAATTGGGTGGTTGGCCAGTTCTGATGATAAATTCTTGGGTCGAAGGCAACTGGAGCTGGAAGGATACCACCTATAAACTACGCAATAAGGGCTACTCGATTAATTATTTCATCAACATTCGCATCGATTCCGATTACAAAAACAGTTCAAAGAACATCATCTATGTAAGTTGGCAATTGTCGTTCCGTGATAACACCCACATTTGTGGCATTCCTTACTTCTTACATGCTTTTAATATTTATTTAACAAATTTACTTATCTGTTTTGTCATCATCATTTTTTTCTTTAATTTTTTTACATTTAAATTGATATTTTAAAAGCACTTGAATAATACTTTGATTTTTTATCCTTACTATTGTTTATTTAATCTCTTAATGGTAATACAATTTACTACTATTTTAACTTCATCATTTTCCTATTAATAAAGTTCTCGCTTAGATTTTTGTGACACTGTTATAATAAATGGGTTATTAACTAATTAATGATGATTACAGCTTTTGGCAGTATACGTTGATCGATTAACAATGTCTTATCTACCGAAACATATATTATTATAAGTAAACACTCATCATCATGATTAAAGAAACCATAAACTAATGAAAAGTTGTAATTACAATTAATAAAATATTTATTACAAACCCATTGAATACTTTTACGATAATAACTATTACAGTCAAATGTAATCGTGACATTATTAGTATGCACGCAAAGTTCCATTAAATTTTCAAAAATAATATTAAAGAAACAAACATGTCCGTTTTTCACTAGTTGGATCAAGCAACGCTGGGTGTGTCACGCGAGTACCTGTCACGTGGCTTAAGAGATAAAATCGTAAAAGCTTACTTCAATTACATGGTCGACATTGCCCAAATCCTCGGAGCCGATCGAGACTACGCCGCTGAGCAACTCAAGGAGTCACTGGAGTTTGAAATCAAACTCGCCAACGTAAGCACAAAAACGAAGCAAAAAAAAAAAGAAAAAAAAACTAAATTATTTTCCCTAGATCTCACTTCCGAGTGAGAAACGGCGCAACATCACGGCTCTGTACAACCCAATGACCATAGCCGAGTTATCAAAAAAATTTCCGTCCATACCTTGGATGGAGTACTTCAACACCATATTGGCACCAACAACTAGCGTCACGGAGGATGAGGTTGTCGTCGTCAATGTGCCAACTTTCATCACAGAACTCGAAAAATTGCTTATGAAAACGCCCAAACGAGTACTGGCGAACTACTTAATGTGGCGCGTTGCTGGAAGTTCTGTCAGCTACCTGAACGACGAGATGAGGAAGCGGCAGTTTGAATTCTTCAAGACTTATGAAGGTAAGATCTTATTTGTTTTTTAATTTTTTTATTTTAACAACAATCTATTTTTTGTTGACAATTGTTTTATTCACTTTCTTGTATTTTGAGTGGTTGCCCGTATGGTACAAAGACATAAATATAGAAATATAGAGGAGCAAAAATATAGGAAAATAATGTACAGTCATACTAAAAAATGATAGCATGTATACCAAGATAGACCTTCCCATAAACTAGAATGTAGTAACAAATAATTGAATAAATTTAAGATAAAAAGATAGATGTAGAGATAGAGATAGAGGTGCAGACGTACACATGAGTTTAAAATGAAAAAGACAAAACTTCAAAAGATTAAGGTCAACTGTGAGACAGAGACACGGACACTAAAATATTAAAAAAAAAAAAAAAAAGAAAATTGGCGATGTATTTGTATTGCAGTAAAATGAGTTAACGCACAAAAAAATGAGTGCACCAATGAAAATATAATACAAATACTTTAAAAACGAGATAAACGTACTCTTCTTTTAGAACAGCGATACTTTTAGAAACAAATAAACATTTAAAAATTAGAAAACTGATACATAAAAAAACATAAATTCTAAGGTATCAGAACTAAAACCATTTTATAATAAAAAAAACCAGACAAAGAGTAAAAAATTGGAAGAAACCAATGTTTAACGAAAAGAAATTTAGAGACACTAAAGATGAAAAAGACAACACAGATAAAAATATAATTAAATAATTTGAAAAACAGATACAAAAACGATAAAAAAAATAATAATAACATAGCCATCTGAATACAGAGCAGTAAAAACAAATATACAGGAAAAGAAACACTTGCAGTGTCAGAAATTTTTAAATAAACTGTATGAAGATGAAGAACAAAGGCACATAAGTAGAGACCTAGAAAAACAATAGGAGGGATGTAAGTGAGCATGGTCATAGAATAAAAAATAAATTAACTTAAAAAAAGTTCGAAACTACAGGTATTTTGACTTGAAAGTAAATTAAAGTGCAGAGACGTTGTAACAGAGACAAATAAAATCTGAGTCTATTTCAAGCTCTGGAAAGTGAAACCATGCATTTTTGAGTCACAATCATTAATTCCTCAATTTTGATAACACGTGCATGTAATTAAACAGGAAAAACCGAACATGAGCCACGTTGGAAGGTGTGCGTACATTCAGTAAGCACTCGTTTTTCCACAAGCGTGGGTGCACTTTACGTGAGGAAGTACTTCAATGGAAACGCAAAAAAGAGTGTTGTTCACATGGTCTCAGACATCAGGACCCAGATCATCAGAATTCTACGCAGGGTTGGTGCAAAAAATTATATTTTTGTGTGAAAAGTTTAACTTCAATAGAGTAAATTAGCACGTCATGAGAAAAATTGACCCACAGATCGACTGGATGGACAACAAAACGAGAGAGGCTGCCCTGGACAAGGCCAAATCCATGACAACCCACATAGCGTATCCGGACGAGCTGCTCGACGACAAGAAGCTCGAGAAATTCTACGAAAAGCTGGAGATCTCATCGGGAAGTTACCTCCAGAATATCCTTAATTTGACACGATTCAGTGAAATGAACACTTTTGAGACACTAAGAAAAACAGTCAACAAGAGTAGCTGGATCGATCACAGCAGATCTGCCATTGTCAACGCGTTTTACAGTCCCACCAAGAATAGTATGCGTGAGTATAAAACAATTTGTGATTTCGTTGCTGTAGTCGTTTCTGCTGCTACGTCTGTTGTTCAGAAAATGTAATTGGGTGTATGTGGGTGCATTATAATGTACGCGTACATTATACAGCCGTACCTGAGGATTCCTTTGACCGATGATCCAACAATAATTTTTTTTTTCTTCGAAGAGTCTTGCCCCTTTTAAAAAAAAGAAAGTCCATTTTTTTTTATTTCGATTGAAAATATTTTCCCACATTTGTGGCATTCCTTACTTCTTACATGCTTTTAATATTTATTTAACAAATTTACTTATCTGTTTTGTCATCATCATTTTTTTCTTTAATTTTTTTACATTTAAATTGATATTTTAAAAGCACTTGAATAATACTTTGATTTTTTATCCTTACTATTGTTTATTTAATCTCTTAATGGTAATACAATTTACTACTATTTTAACTTCATCATTTTCCTATTAATAAAGTTCTCGCTTAGATTTTTGTGACACTGTTATAATAAATGGGTTATTAACTAATTAATGATGATTACAGCTTTTGGCAGTATACGTTGATCGATTAACAATGTCTTATCTACCGAAACATATATTATTATAAGTAAACACTCATCATCATGATTAAAGAAACCATAAACTAATGAAAAGTTGTAATTACAATTAATAAAATATTTATTACAAACCCATTGAATACTTTTACGATAATAACTATTACAGTCAAATGTAATCGTGACATTATTAGTATGCACGCAAAGTTCCATTAAATTTTCAAAAATAATATTAAAGAAACAAACATGTCCGTTT